ACACATTACAATCCTTTGGTCGCGCAGTCTGGTAAAAAGCTTCAAAAAAAAAAGATAGCTATTAGCTAGTCATAGCAGTTGGTTATGATTAGATGTTATTGATATTTAGACCAGATAATTTGCACCCACATACTTATTTAGTTAGTCTATGTTTACCTATGGATATTATGTATTTTGGATAAAATCCTAAAGCTCGATTCGATATCTTTTTTTCTTTACTGCCTCCGTAGTCATGTACGGCCGCAGATGCGGAGGTTCTGAGTTCGAGTCCCAGGTCGGGCTAAGTTCAGTTATCGAGTATTTCTTTCAAGAAATTTTCAGTAACAACCCGGAGTTGGAAAGTTAGTGGTGATTCACAGCCGTACCTCAGAGAGTTCGGTTTTGCGCCTTAAAATTCTTACTGCTCGTGTCACAGAGAATGCACTTGTCTTTACGCGCATACTTGTACACTATAATATTTCCTGCGCAGATGGCTAGTCACAATGATATTGGCCACCGTGGCAGAAATAGAAATTAGTTGGGAGGGCATTATAATATTTTACGTATATCTCGACACTTAAATTGCATGTAATCCGGTCACTTATTATAATTATAATATTTATTGTATAAAAATATAATTTTTATACTTACCTTCATAAACGTCGCTTAAATATTCTGTGTTGTTGCCTAAAGTTGGTTTGAGAGGTATTTTATATACTTTATAAAAACGACATTGTCAGAAATTTTTTTTTTTAGTTTTATATACATATAAAACCTCTTTTATATTATCTATCTATGCAATAAATAAATTATTACACGTAAATACCTAAAAATACAATATGAATGTTTATTACGCTGTAAATATAGTTTAAATATTTAACTATTTTAGACTTAGTTGTAAAAGTATTGTCAGTTTTCTCTAGCAAGTACTCGCAAGTAGGTATTTCTCTACTAAAAATCGATAACATGTTGATTTGTTTTTGCATGTACGTACATAGTTACATATGTAGTCATGGGCGGCAGCAGATTCATTTTCAGCTGGGTATACCTGATTCTTCACTTTAAACTACTAACTAATCTTTAAATGATTAACTTTATAATTTTTTCCATATCATATTTTCTGTGAAGATATCTAAATTAAAACATTGATATAACTCATATAACTTTATTAATCCTTAACTTTTCTTTATTTTATGGCCGGGGGAAGCAAGTGCATCCCCTCGTACCCCACATCTATCCCGGTACCCCTGTATGTCGTATAAATTATATTAAATAATGATCAAGATTAAAATATTATAGCTGATACAACTTGCATTCAGTAAATTCGACATGTGTGAGTCGAAGTGTAAGGTTTGTAATCCTCTTAACTTAATGAATATAGCACACTTCAAAACAAATACGATAGTATAACTGAGAACAATCGTTCATTATAGATAATAATAGGCAATTTGAAATTAGCGTCTCTTTGGCACACTCAAATATATAATTTTAATATTCTATCCGTAGTCCGCAATATAATCCTACTGTTTTTTAAAAAGTGTAATCTATCTACGTATCTCGTTGAATGTTAGGAATGTATATTGAAGCTGAACCTCGATAATTCGTGAATTAATGCATGTTATGAGCTAGTTTTGTTTTCTTACAGACTTATTTCTTGCTATATATAATTACTAGCGGACCCGACAGACGTTGTCCTGTCTACACGTCTTTAATTTGAAAATTTCAAACTTTTTTTAATAATTTTTTTGATGAAAATTATTATTCAAATTGTGAATCTAAACCATTCCCAGATCCCTTTGAACACACACAAAAAATTTCATCAAAATCGGTCCAGTCGTTTGAGAGAAGTTCAGTGACATACACACTCACAGAAGAATTATATATATAAAAATAACATAAGTTCTCCGTAAGTGCACACTTATTGTGTGGATATAAAGTAGAGAACGGACATTATTCAAAACCCAAAGGAAAATTATGTATAACTTCTCGGCTGGCCACAGCAGTGACAACTGTAACAGACGTAGAGCGCGAGAGAGAGAACCTAGCTAGACAGTATCCTGCTATCTACATCTGTATATCCTCCTTCTGAAGGTTAGCACAACTAGTGAAAAAGTCACCTTTTTTTTTAACGTTGGGAAATGCATTTACGCACGAAGTGTGGGACTCACCGGCAAAGCCAGTACTACCCACTAAAACCCAACAAAGCCTTCCCCCGTCTTAATGGGGCGTCGCAGGATCGCTTACGCATTCAACTACGACGCCCCGACGGCAGGTCTGCCGAAACAGACCTCAACAACCACGGGGTTGCTCCAAGGTCCACTCTGCTATCAGAGAAGTACCAGGAGCAACCCGCATGCTACAGCGCCCTCCGCAGAGGGCCACCTCCCACCGCCCACCGAAGTGGGCCACCTCCCTGTGCGTTTCTTGGCTTCGGGCCCGGCTGGATTGCCGGGCACTACTGAGCCCCCCCACAACGACAAGGTGAACGCACGTTGGGGGGGAGTGAAAAAGTCACCTAAGCTATGTTACGAATTAGTATTACATTATTATTAGACTGTGAGTAATTCATAAAATATCATAGTGGCCACTGTGTTTGCTGGATGTGCTCGGGGGAATCAGAATTCATACCTCGAATACTACTGATAACTTCCGACTACGCCTTTGAATTTAATCTATTTAATTCCTCCTTAAAGTTTGCTTTGCAATGAACAATAATATGTACCTATATCTTAGATTATAATAATACTAGCAGAACCCGCGGCTTCACTCGCGCTAAAACTACAAAAAAACTAAAAAGGTAGGCTTGATACAAACTTTCATGCCCTTTTTTATTTTACCCCTTTATGTGATGAATTTCGAAAAATGCTGAAACACGTATTTATTTAATTCTGTTGAAGAGCATTCATATCAAGTTTCAAGTAATTCTGATCATAAATATTTTTTTCGGTTGTATTATAACGTGTTTTCCCGTGGGAAGTAGATGATCTCCAGCGTTAAAAAGTAGCCTATGTCACTCTCCAGTCCTCTAACTATCTTCACACAAAAAATCACGTCAATCCATCATTCAGTTTTCACGTGAAAGATGGACAAACAAACAAACTTTCACATTTATAATATTAGTATGGATATATATTATATTATAGATATTTGATACGACAACATAATATTAATTCAATGAAAATTAAAACTGAGCAAATTTTTTAGTCGACGCGAGCGTAGCCACGGATAAAAAGCTACAGCAAAATAAGAATCACACTTTATATATGTAATTTAAAAAAGAAAGAGAAGGACGGAGACTAAGCTTCAGGTGTACATAGCAATGGGTCTTCAAAAATAACGTAGGTGTTAGCCTGTTAGTATGTTATTTAAAAAACCCATATTAGCCGAGTTACATGTGTCATAAAAATTGTATGCAATTGTATCATTGTACTCTCTTCCTCTAACTTTGAAAAGATGGGGTAGAAGATGTGTAAAAAATACAGGTAGTGGAGCTTACTAAATACGTATAAAAACTTTTTAACAAAAAAATAAAAAAACGACTTCAAACAAAAGCACTAAAAAGTAAAAAATAACTGATTGGTAGTTTTCATTTACTATACATACCTAATCAAATATTTTTCAAGTCGGTGTGCTTTGCTTTGCATGGGCTGGCACCGATTTCGAAAATATTTGATTAGGTATGTATTTAATAGGTAGGTTTTAATTACTTAGCCAAACCTATCCACCTTTTGGCCTTACCATCAGATCAGGTCAACAATGCCGAACCACTGTACTTTCAACGGAAATAGAAATATAAATATGACAATTAGAAATAGGTTAAATTCATCATTAGCTATTTTTCCACCCTTAGGAGCGGTAATATTTTTTGAAATTTAAATGGGACCAATCTGGAAGTATACACTTTCAAACAACACAAAAATTGTCCAAATCGGTTAATAAATGACGGAGTTCTGAGGTAACAAACGTAAAAAAAAATACAGTCGAATTGAGAACCTCCTCCTTTTTGAGGTCGGTTGGAAAATAAATTTATTTACAAAATATAGCTAGTTAGCTACATTTTTTAAGATACTGGATATTTTGAGTTATGATCGCTAGAATTAAATTTGTTTTCCATGTATGTTTAAGAAATAATAAAAACGACACCAACTTGTTTTTGCAAATAATAAAGTATGTGTAGAGAAAAAGTTTTTTTTTCGGTAATTTGATCGCGGGCGAAGCCGCGGCGGGTTCTGCTAGTAAATAAATATAATTTTAATTTTAGAGCATAAAAATATTAAAAATAAAATAAATAAAAATAGTGTAATAAATAACTATATAATCAATAAAGTATAACATTTTCTAAAACTTTACTGCTGATGAAAACTAAAACAAAACTTAATGACTTTTTAATCTGAATTGCAATGGCGCATTTTGATAGCAAATATCGGCCATGATGATTAAAGTGCTTTAATGAATAGGGCCATTGAAGGTGACATTTTACGATCGATCAGAGCTCACCTTTGAACTGTTACACCGTTAATATAGACTTTATTTAGTTGCGTAATGAAACTTTGCACCCTTTATAAATTTCGTCGCTAACTTGGACTAAGAAATTGCATAGGAAATATTAGTATTTTGAAATAAACGACGTGTTCTTCTTAGCTATCTAAACTTGTTTGTATATGTATAGTATATAAAATTATTGAAGTCATATAGTTAATACACAGGACCAAAATTCAAACAAGCGTTAAAAACGTTTGTCTGCTCAAGCCACAAATCTATTATACTAGTGCGTAACAATTGAACAATTTTGACTGAGAATTCCCTGGTAAATAAAGGATTTGGGTGAGAAAAGCGTATGATACACATATCCTACGAGTAGATAGAAGATAACACATATTACAATAGAAGAAAATGATTTCAACGATTTTAACAGTATTTCGGTTTTAACTTACTTAAGTAATTTAGGTACCTACTGAATAAGATTCATTCAATAAGATTCAGTAAAAAATGGATAACTATTTATTTTTTTCTTCTTCCAGGGTATCTTTTGGGAGCTCGAAGGGATCTATGGTGGAAACACTTATCTACGAAAGTCCACTGCAAGAGGAACCGGAAAGCAGCCCGCCGCCCAAGTTCCAAGAAACTGCATTCCCGTATACGCCCGTCGAAGACGAGTACGTTATGTTCTTTTCATGAGTATGTCTTATTTATTTTCACTAAAGCGAATTGGCGAATTAGCTAATCATATGTTACTGTGCGATAATTCATGGAATATTTCATACACACCTTCCGTATTTATATTGCCATTTTTTGTTTTATTGCGACAGTCATTTTTATTACATCTGGCATCATAATATGTAGTCGAAACTCGACAAAAATTATGCCTAAAACTAAAGAAATTCGACTTGATTTGGTTATACTTTCGCAATTTAGTAATATTGCTTGCTCCGGTCGGGTTCGTCCCTAGGTGCCTTTTAACATTTGGTTAAGATTTCTCAGAGATGGGATTTGTTTGTGTTGACCCGGATAACCAGCTATCATCATACAAAATTTCATCAAAATCTATCCAGTGGTTTTCTCGTGATGTATTCCCAGACAGACAAAAATTCTAAAAACTATAGATTCGGCTTCTGTATCGATAATAATGACTATTTCAATAAGATTTTTCAAAAAATATTTAATGTACAGATTCGACTCCGAATTTTATTACATTATTTCTATAATGTTTCATTTTGTTTTTTTTTTCAAGTTTTTATTACGGTCAATGATTTCATCGCAAGTTTGTCATGCCTTGAGTTTGTTAAAATAAAAAAAGGATTCTTTTAAATATATTAACGACGGTTTGGCATAACATTGATTTTTATTATGAAAGCATTCTAGCGTTTTATTTTCCTTTGAATATAACATCTCTGATTGTCGGAAGTACCTACATATAAATACTACTTAATAGTATTATTACTATTTTTTTTAAAAGATTACGGTTATCATAGTCGGACTGCTATTCGTTAGAATATATTTAAGTTTATTTATAACTAACGACTTACCCTCGCTTTGCTCGGGTGCGTCCCTAGAAACGTTTTAATAGTAAGTATAGAATAAACTAATAATATGTACAGTGTACATACATAAGATTTTTTTATTCGATCTAGCGAGATTCCCCAGGAAAACAAAAACAGGTATAGAAAAGTGTGTAAGTATAAGTACCGAAATGCGGTTTTTCTTTTACTAAATTACGGTTTACTAAAGCGTTAGTATTCGATATATATATATTACCGAAATAAACAGTTTTTTTAAACCGGTTCCGAGTTCCCTGCTCATACTTGCTTGCTTGTACCTATAACTACAGAGAGACTGACAAAAATTTATAATTAGCCACTATAGGGCCAAATTAAATTTTTCGTGCAAGGGGTCTCTAGATCTACAAAGTGAACTACAGCAGAAGAATTTCACTTTGATTTACTTATTAGAAACGTTTTATTAAACTTGTTTTTGTTTCGATATGATCGGTAAATCACAAAACATGATATTTTTCTTTTTATTAAATTTATTAGCGGCTATCGTCTCTTCGCTCGGGTTTGTCGCTAGGAAAACAAAAACATACCTAGTACACATCCCACGGAAACCGTACATTTTTCCGGGATAAAATGCCTATGTGTTATTCCAGACTATAATCTACCTCTGTGCCAAATTTCATTCAGATCCATTCAGCCGTTCTGGTGTGAAAGAGTAACAAACATCCATAGAAACTTTCACATTTATAATATTGGTATGGATTATTTTTGTATCGCAAGCGCAACAGAGATAGCGTAAAATTCGGCACGAATCCGACGTCCATGAGGTCTCTGACCTGATTTACTTTCGTGATTTGGACAGGCACATGCTCAAATACCACATGTATTTCTTTAAAAAATATTTACTTACTCTTCATAAATAATAAGTAACTAAGTAATTAAAAAAAAATAGTGTAAATGAACGGTAGTATTTGAATCATTTTACTATTGAGCGATGCATATAAATACTGTTACAATTAAAAATAAACAAAATATTACATTTGAATTTGGAATCTGTCATTTTTATATGATTGTTCATTATGTTTTCTCATTTTCGCGCCAATATATTGTAAAATATTTTGTGATATTAAAATAGAGTGGGGTGATAAAGAGAACCGAATCGCTGTGATTGCATTACACAAAGTAGGTATGGTAGCCAAATACAATTTTTAAAACTCCATACGCTTGGTATTAGTCAAATGTTTATGTACCGTCTATTGATAGGTACAATGAAACCTCCTCTGTTTGTGACAGAAAAAGATGTGGCCGTCCACGTAGTGTTCGTACGAAAAAGGCGATCAAAGCAGTAAGGCAAATAAATCGAAGAAATCCTCTCTGAAAGCAAAAGGTTTTATCTCGGGAGATGAAGATAGCAACTACAACCATGACGCGTATTTTAAAAGATGATTTAGGACTTGCAGCCTATTCCCCGGGGGAGGACGAGGTGGTGTGATGTGAAGGTGATCCCTGCACATCGTCTTGTCGATTCTTTTGGCTGTAGCGGAACAATTTCGGGGGATTCTAAATTGATAGGTCGAGCTCGACATCGGGCAACGCTGACAGGGTCGCGGTCGAACGCGCAAGCGATCCCGTGGCCCTGTCTCTTGTGATAGGGATCACTGTGGTGGTTTTAGTGGGTAGTCTATCGCGCTTCTCGCGACAGGAGTCCCACATACCCCGTGTGTCCTCCGCGCTCGGGCACCCGTAAAAGGGTTTCCCCACGAATAAAAAAAAGGGCTTGCAGGATATGAGAGATGCACTGGTCTTTTCTTAACTGATAATTTAAAAAAGAATAGGGTGGTAAAATCAAAACAACTAGGTACTTAAGCGATACGCAAAGGGAGGTCACAGAAAAATTTTGTTTACGAATGAGAAATTTTTACAATTGAGCAATATTTCAACAAACAGAATGACCGTACTTATGCTCAAAGTTCTAAGGAAGCTTTTCAATTAGTCAACAGGGAACAACGTGGGCATTATCCGACTTCAGTAATGGTTCGGTGGGGTGTTAGCTATGAAGGAGTGACTGAGCCATATTTTTGTGAAAAAGATATCAAAACATCGGCATAAGTGTATCAAGACACCATTCTTGAGAAAGTAGTTAATCCCCTTAACAACATCATGTTCAATAACTAAGAATGGTCCTTTCAAGAAGACTCGGCGCCTGGTCATAAAGCTCGATCCATGCAATCTTGGTTAGAAACCCACGTTCCGGACTTCAGCAGAGCTGAAGACTGGCCGTCATCTAGTCCCGATATTATTATGATTTATGGTCAGTTTTAGACAGTATGGCTTGCTCTAAATGCCATGATAATTTGGAGTCTCTAAAACAATCCTTACGATTGGTAGTGAAGAATTTTCCCATGCAAAGAGTGCGTGCTTCTATTGAGAACTGGCCTCAACGTTTAAAGGACTATTTCGGAGCCAGTGGAGACCACTTCGAATAAGCTTTATATATTTTTAATAGTTTTATATTAATGTATTAAACTAACACACTATAATAGTAATCAATGTTACGTGCTAAAAAAAATGTTTTTTTTTTCCTTTGTAACAACATTTAGGGCAAGACTATGTATTAATGACCTATGTGAAGTTAGAAACTAACTAAACAATAATTCGTTTTTATCAATTCTATTCGATTGTACTACGTTTGTACCATAAAGGGGTGAGCAATATGGGGGTTCGAATATATATATGGTTCACAGCCAACCTAAAAATATGACGTTTTTGTTGATGCCAATTGGAAGCATATCGTTTGTACTGGATTGTACCGCTCTTAAAATCGTTTGTACCTCTAAGGGGTGAGAAATATAGGGGTGCGAAAATATGTATCGTTCACAGCCAATCTAAAAATACGACATGTTTGTTGATGCTAACTGGAAGTATATCGTTTGTAAAGGATTATCCGATTATTAGAACTGAAAAAATATACATAAATAAAAAAATATCATGTTTATAAATATATGTACATATTTTTTTCCCTACAAAAAATCTCTGCGGTATAAACGGGTATAAACGATGAGAAGCCGAGAACTTATTGTAACATTCAATTAGCGTATGTATAATGATAATAGAAACGAAATTCTCGGCGGTACAAACGGGTACAAACGATAGGAAGCTGAGAACTTATCGTAAAAATCAATTAGCACGTGTATAATGATGATACAAACCAAATTCTCCACGGTAGAAACGGGTACAAACGATGAGAAGCCGAGAACTTATTGTAACATTCAATTAGCGTATGTATAATGATGATACAAACCAAATTCTCGGCGGTACAAACGGTGAGAAGCCGAGAACTTATTGTAAAATTCAATTAGCGCATGTATAATAATGATACAAACCAAATTCTCCACGGTACAAACTGGTACAAACAACCATACATATTTTCGCACCCCTATATTTCTCACCCCTTTGAGGTACAAACGATTTTAAGAGCGGTACAATCCAGTACAAACGATATGCTTCCAATTGGCATCGACAAAAATGTCATATTTTTAGGTTGGCTGTGAACCATACATATATTCGAACCCCCAATATTGCTCACCCTTTTGAGGTACAAACGATTTAAAAAGCGTTACAATGCGGTACAAACGTAGTACAATCGAATAAAATTGATAAAAACTAATTATTGTTTAGTCAGTTTCTAACTTCACATAGGTGTATTAATGGTCTTTATAAATTTTTTTAGGGTTCCGTAGTCAAATGGCTAAAAAGGAATCCTTATAATTTCGCCATGCTCGTCTGTGCGTCTGTCTGTAAGTGAAATCAAATCCATTTTACTCAAAGACTATTAAAGCTATATTTCTCAAATATAATTTATATGTAACAGGTTGGTAGGTATCTCTTGTGAACCGCTAGATAATTCTGTAGTCAAATTACAAAACAAAGGTAGGACTTCATATGAACATGTAAATTGGGGGTGAAAAAAAGTGTACCTAACTGTAAAAACGAGTGGGGTATCTCTGAACTCTCTTATGTATAATTCAGATGAATGCTTCTAAGTAACTTTTTGTTCAAGCCAATTAAATTAGTTGCAGAGTTATATGATTCTACAGATTATATGCTACGGAACCCTCGGTGTGCAAGTTAGATTTCACACTTGTCCTATTATTTTCTTCTAGTCTACTTGCTAGGGGATAGGAGCTCCTCTTCCTACTTTCTTAGGCACTGTACGTAATGTTCAATACACAAACACAATGTTCAATAAACACGTATTAATATATACAATACTATTTACGAATGGTAATAGCAATAGGTACGTATGTAATACGTCTGTTCACTACATTAGTTGCTGATTATTTCACAACAAGAATTTTGAGTTCCTGTTTATTAGAAAGGAAACAAGGCACGCCTAAATCTGCGAGGCACGAATAAGCTAAATGGAATCGATTTATCCCGACAATAACAGGAACAAACTTATTACATGATTTTCTATTTAAACTTCTGTTGCTTTGACTAATATACCTAAATACTAACATACCCGTAAAGGACTTCTTAAGAACAAGAAAAAAATCCTGTTTGAAATAGCTCAACGGTTTATTAAGAATATATTATCTAGATCTGCGTTTAAAAATATGAAGCATTTTTGATAAAGGTATCTACCTACATATATCATTTAGCATAATCAATAGTCATGTACTACAAACAAAACAAATTATTATTACCCATGTTGTTCATGCGTTGAATGGTACCTAACGTAAGAATAATTTCTAAAACAATTTCTTATTTATCTTAATAAAATATATATTATCAATAGAAAAGCTTATTCTAATTTACCTCGTAAGATGTATTTTTATAATAAAGATTAATTAAGAAAAAATATAGAAATGTTTTCTTTAAAGAATCGTATAATAAATAGGCGTATAAAGTATATTTAGTGATTTTTGTATTGTATTTTTTACCTATCTTATTTTGTAAGTTTTAATTTTGGCTGTACGAGCTTACGCTATCTGGAAGCTTGTGTAAGTTTTACGACTGGTTGATTACAGCACAGGTCAATTGCATAAGGTCTTTTCCGCGAACTCCGCATTAAAGTAGCGGTTTAGAGTGTTACCGTGACATTATTTTAAGAAACGGCAACATTCCACTTATTTTTACTTGTATTAGAGAATCAAGAATGGCCCAAAAAGAGAAGTTCCAAATAGCTCTTACAATTAATTTCGTGGAAAAATTTTGACATGTTTTTGGTATTCAACGTCAGAGTAAAATAAACACAAACACTTTTAAACTAAATACAACTAACATTTTTAAATAAATAAATAAATATGTTGGGACATTAACATACAATATCATCTAGTTCCATGGTAAGCTACGAGGCTTGTGCTATGGATACCAGATAGTTGATACACTACAAAATATATTTAACTTAAAATACATACATATTATAAATATAAACATTCATGACTGGAGTACAAACATTCGTGCTCATTACACAAATGAATACCCCCAGCGGGATCGAACCCGCGACCGCTGGCACAGCAAGTAGTAAGTACCTAGTTCGTATGCACTCTTATTGCGGAGTCCTACATAGGTAATATATAATAAGCATTCCTCAAGGTTTGAAGCCCCCTAGTACTCGCGATAAAAGTTATGTATCTTGTAAAGAAAATCACGTGCACTTTGTGCAGGGCTTTATTGCTTTATGCTTTTTTTTACCCTAGTACTTGTGCCAATGTTTTATGACCTAATTTACGAGCCAAGGGCAGAAGCAAAAGGAACTTTGTAAGTTTGTTCCTACCGGGTGCCCTACGTGTTACACCTCGCAACTTTTTCTTTATGACCATTGAATCGATTAAAAAAGACTTGCTATATTATATTATGTAAAGAATAAAGAATATTTTTTGAATAATAAATTATGTCTATTAAATAAGCGTAGATTAAAACGAAAATATAATTTTCTATATAACTGACATACAAATTGTTTTATGTAAAAGTCAATAATAAACTGACTTATTGGTAAATTGGTGAGAATAAACCCGATTAAAATTATCGAGATCGAATGAGAATCGTGAATCGTGTTCGTGAATGGTAAATACGTCACTAGGTTGGCACGACTGTGCTCCGCCCGCTTCGCTCCATTCGCCACGGCCGTGCGCGATCGCGACTTCCGAGATCGATGTTGTGAACGCAGTGAAACTGTACACACTACACAGTTGTGAAGCGTCGAACGAATCTGGTCTTACTGTGTGTTTAGGCCGATGTTTTTAATTCTTACTGGAAGTATACCTGTCCTAAAAGTGCACCTCAGTGCGTGTTAACTGATGTTAGTGAATGCCGATATTCTTTGTGAATACTTGTAAGGTATGTTATTTACCAGTTCACGTCACTCTGCTGCGCACAATGAATTCACTGGCCGAATATTTTTTTTTTGTTAAAACGTCATTTAATTATGATTTTATGCTTTTTTTTAACAATGACACCCCCTAATATTAAACATATCGAAGAGCTATTGCGAATAAACGCTGTTTGTAAAAAAGTTTGAGTAGAATTCGGTCTGAATGACGTCACTAGAAGCGAATTATAAACACAAAATGACTTAATTCCACCAACAATTTGGATCTCAAGGTCACTATTCTTAGCGTATCTACAAGTAGTAAACATACATTGGCAAACAATTTGCAATCATCTATTTATAAAATCACCATCACTGATCGTAACCCTAAATCGAGGACCCGCCCTATGCTCCACGACAAGGCCATGTTGCTGAGCGTCATCGCTTTCATATTTATTTCGATAACTTCTTATTTTTTGCCAACACATGAGACATACACTAAAAAATATTCCAATTTTATCAGTTTATGTCATTGAATAGACATTGGTCTTTTTGTCACACCTATGTTTTTAACTCTATAAAGATTTTCAATCATAAAGCTCTTTGCTAATAAAGTATAAAAAATAAGATAAACGAGATTTCTAAATTATAATAATAGGTTTTTAATAAATTTATTTGCCTTGTATTATTAATTATATAGTATTTGTGGAGATGTCACAACATTTCCAAAAGATAGACATTGTTTAATAATTTAAAGTACTTAATGGATTTAAAAAAATAAAGTAAATATCATAACTTAAATGTAAAAAATTAATTAATTCTGCAGTGCTAAAGTTTAATAAGCACTTTAATAAAATCAAATTTCCCATTAATGTACCAGATCATTAACATAATATTATTTAATGAATGTCACTCATATAGTCACTTATTTAAGGTCTGCTTTTTCTGTGTATACTTTTATTAATGTAACAACTCTCTGAATTGTCTGATGTCATGAATTCATTATAAGAATGACCTTACATGTACCTCCAAATGTGTGGGTGCCATTTATGCTAGCCTTGCTTATTATAATGACAAGTGGAAGCTGTGTCAGCTTCTGTTTAATATTCCAAGCATCTTTTACTACAGTGTTTTTAGCAAATGACAAAATTACCTCAAATCACATAATCAACAAGATGTTTGATATTAAACATAATTACATGTGGGTGGAATACGTCATCCACTATTAAAAGAACTGGAGCTGCTAAATTACCTTCAATGTTAACACATGCAAGTATTATGTTTGCTAATGCGCTATGAATGCAAGGCAAATGTTACATAACAATATTAATGCGAAATGATAATTAACTATTGATTGTTTGAAATGTAGTTTATTATCTTAAACAATATAATGCACTTGGCCTTTAAGTTCTATATTGCTTACTCTGTAATAAAAAATGACAGTTATTTTATTTTAAATTAATATTAATTATCTAATAGATTTATTGATAGATTATAAAAAGAAATAGGTATGAAATTTATCACATGTTCTAGTTAAGTTTTGCAAGAAAGATACTACATACTGTGCCATATTATGCTTGCGTTTATCCACACATATATGAATGTAATTTATCATGATTTTTCATGGTTTCAGTTCGGAGCGTTCAAAGGTTCGTGTGTCTTTCTATCAAGGGGCGCGGCCGCAGTGTCTGTCCCCACCGCCTGTTCAGTCTGACTCACACATCCTCTACGCCGACTTGCTCTCTGCTGCTGCTAACGTCGACATGGCGGAACACACCATGTACAACAGACAGATCAGGTATGTACAGTCATATCTATGTGTATATTTATCTTTACAATCGTTTAGTATAGAGATGACTGTGTATTTCATTGCAATAGGTACTTTTATATGCTATTCATCTGATTCAAATAGAGTTTCTATTCTTTGATGATTTGTTGTGTGTCTATCTGCATAGTTTTGTAACTAGGTTGAAGGTATCATCAAAACTTGACAGATGATGTGTGTATCACATTGGACAATTTGGATTTATTAGTCAGTAAAAAATCGTATTTATTTATGGCTAAAATCAATCTTGCAATGTGTAATCTATATACATATGTCTGTAACAGATAAATGAAAAATAAACTATAAATGTCCATTTAAAAAAATATGATTTGTATTTCACAAAATTATATCACTGCAAGTAGATTTGTTTTGTTGATATCTTTATATAATAGATGAGTGACATCAGTGCATATTATATTTAAAGGTTGTACATCTGTATCATTGCACAACAATAGTGAATTTACTACCTAGCTGTATTGTGACTTTACATTAAGCCCATGAATGTTAACATTTCATGACCTCATTTGCTTCAATAGTACTTTAATGTATCTATGCATTTCTGATTTGTTGTGATTAAACATCAAGCACACCTTTACTTAAGTTTTGGTTATACCCTAAATTGCAAAAGAGTTTTAAAGAAGGAGATTGCAATTTTATTTTAGTCTGGTTGCTTGTATTGCTCTGGTTTAGTCCAAGTGTAATTAACTTACCATTTATTATATATATAATAAATTAGGAGTTATTTTAGAGAGAAATTAGGAGGTAGTTCTATCAATATATATATATATAGTCAAAATCTGTTATAACGACATCGAAGGGATCACTCATATTTGGTCGTAAAAACCGATAGTCGCAGCAGCCGGTGACGGTTTTTAGGAACAAAGTATTTTTTTATATAGTGGTATTATTGAATGTGTACATATAGAGAGAGAGCAAACGAAATCTTCAGGAAAACGCTGAGCAAAATCGTTTGCTTTTTGTTGAAGAATTGGTCCATTTATTGGCACATTATTTGTCCTTTGATATTTAAACCACTTTAACAAAGATTCCTATATTATATATTCCTATTCTTCGTTGCTCTGGCTCGTTTCATTTTCAAAAAATTGCTGTCATAAAGGGTTTGAATTTTTTCCCTTTCTTTTCAAATGGTTGACATTTTCGAGTGTGATACACCATATTCTTTTGCCAAATCTTTGTTTGGAATTCCGATCTCTAGCTTTGATATAATATGCGATTTTTCCTTGATATTAATTTGTTTTCTTTTTCTTTGCGACATGTTAAAAGTTTCACAAATAACTAGACTATATGATTTGGTGCGTCTTGTGTACAGAGAAGTAAGAAACTGACTGAAGAGATATGAAGAAGCGGGTTTTGATTATACTGCATGCACGTGTATTTTGTTTCTAAGAATTACAAAAGACCCTAAACTCGACAAGTTTTTGTTTACTTTTGCGATTTTAATAGTCATGGACCATTATGCTGAGCCCCCGAGGGCCAGATGTGGATACTGTTACCTATTCAAATTGCTTACAATACAGCTGGTCGTTCTAACAGATATAATTCGCCGAAGATATTAGTTAAATGTGGTCGTTTAAAGAGGTATGTCGTAAAAAGCAATATTTTTAGTAAGGCGGTCATATAGCATTCAGCCGAGACCTTTGATTTTGGTCACTATAACCGATATGTTATTCTAAACGATGTCGTCATAAATTGTTTTAACTGTATATATATATTCAAATTTTTGCTTTTACGAACTGAAATATCGATACTAATTAAACAAAAAAATTGGTGCAAATGCAATTACATAAAATTTGCAACAAAATTGGATAGGTCAGATATCTTGTATTACCAATAGTTAATAGAGTTACAGACTTATTTAGTCATATTTTATGATTTTTCAACTATATTATAAAATATATTAATAAAGGACATGAAATATCATTAAAAATAAATAATCGTGAGTCAGTAACTTTGTTGTTATTGATGATATGAAAAAGTTGACTAATACTTTTTTATAGGATTTTAAACGTACAAATTTGCCATTTAAAATTTTTCTCTAACTCTTACAGCTAAAAAATGCAAAAAACCGTAAATTTGAACTTCAAAGCCTTATAACAAATCAAATATTGAAGATAGAAATTCGACTCAATGGAACTTTTTGTAGTAATTTTAATACTAAAAACGGTCCATTCATTAATTTTTTTTTTAAATATTTTCGTCACAGTTTGCAGGACAAAAAAGTGTTAAAAATCATATTTTCCATATAATTTGTATAGGAAAACTTAAAGTTCGATGGAGAACCTCTTAGAATTGGAATTTTGAGCTCCGCTTTTAACAGGAGCTTTGTTGGGACATTTTCTGAGATATTTTGGGGTGAGAGCCAAGAAAAAAAAAATATCGTCATTTTTTGGCACACCCTAATATATATATATATATATATATATATATATATATATATATATATATATATATATATACTAGCGACTCACCCTCGCTCCGCTCGGGTTCGTCCCTGGGGTGGGGTCTGGGAGGACCACCCTTATCCTTATCAGTTAGGGGTATGGAAAATAGATAGTAGCCGATTCTCATACCTACTGAATACGCATATAAAATTTGGTAAAAATCGGTAAAGCCGTTTCGGAGGAATACGGTAACAAACATTGTGACATGGAAATTTTATATATAAGATATATATATATATATATATATATATATATATATATATATATATATATATTGATAGAACTACCTAAGAAAGTTTTGTAAGTGTCCAAGTATGTCTCATTTCAATCGGATGAATAGTTTAGAGTTGCATATGTTCCAGACAAAGAAATATATTATGCTTTGTTTTTTTATTGTATTGCAGTACTGAAAGTGGATGGGATAACCCATTCCGTCCAGATGGCGACCTAAGCCGTGAGGCAGATGAGATTGTCTCCTTGATTAAAGGTGGCAAACCAATCACTCCAACCATCCCTATTGTGAACCAGTCACCTATTTGCGATGAAAAGGAGGAAAAAGTTCATGCAAACAATGTAAATGTAAGCCACTACCTTAATAATGTTTTTATATTCAACATTTATATATTAACATATTTAGCAATCGAATTATAAATAACATCTTTTGTATATATATGCAATAAACATTCTATTTCATCAATATCTTTATCGAGACCCTATAATCAAATACAATATTTAATAATGCAGGCTAGTCCTCCGGCACAAACCAAGGCAAGTCCAGTACAGCAGAACACTCCGAAGAGCAACGGCACAAAGAACGGTACAGCAGTGCCGGAAGTGAGGTCTGGGCAAGTAGAAGTGCAACGCTCGCCCCCTCAGGAGCCCCTACAACCGGAGCACGTGACTATCAAGAAGAAGCAAAAGTGCAAGTGCTGCGTCATCCAGTAACTTCCCACCCTCAACCGGTAACGCTAAGCTTCTCACCACCAGCATCCCCCGACTTTGGTGTTTACTCGGTGCTACATCACTTCCCACGTTCTACCGCATGAAGTTACACGCGAGTTGTCCGCTACAAACATCACATGTCTGTACTCTCCGTACAATGCGTACTTCGATATTTATATGCGTTTTTATTGTATTATTTAAGGTTACACATATTTAATTGTAACTTTGTTTTTGTTTTATCTGTTACGAATTTGTTTTATGATTATTCGTAATGGTATTTTTTTTATAGGGTACAAAACTCATTGTTTAGCTAGTCTGGTGAAATTTATGATACAGTTATAGGTACTAAATATCATAGAAAAAGTAGCCTACCACAGTATTTGAATTTAACGTCGCTTCTAGTACATCTAAGAGAATCTCTGCAGGATTGCTAAAATATAATCTAAATCAAAAGCTATTAATTGAAGAGAGATGAATATTTAAAAAGTTATTTATAGTAATGATAAAGGAAAATTATTCGCCTATTGTAACAACAATATCACAATCATCCTACAACATTGAAGGCAAGATGTTAAAATATCATAATTTTTTATATAATTCAATTATAATTTATTTCATAACTGTTACTGAGTTAAATCTATGTTGAATAATGTTTAAATACATAATTTAAATGTATATTTTTATATGTTTATTTATAAAAAGTATTATAATCCTTAAAATATATTGATTTACCTAGTGTTTAGGAATATGGGTGGCAGTAGTGCTACTTTTACTACTTGTGCGTGCTTTATTCGACGTCATATTCAAACTCTGGGATACAGTCAGCTGTTATGAAGGTTGTACTGAAATGTTAAAGCAGTAATGATCTCGTTTACTCGGTTTTTTAGTATGGTTATATAAATATAGGACTTGTTGGACGTAAGACTGCTTATTCTCAATATAGGTTGATCATAGAACCTCTATAGCATTTGAGAGTAGCCCGTACAATGAATCCATCATTTCTAAAGCGCCTATAAAAACGTATTATTCTTCCCTTTAGCTGCCGGCTTTGCGCCCACTAATGAATGTCTGTCTGTACATAATATTTATGAAACATTTGCGATATTTGAATGTACCTTTACTGAATAATACATATTATGTATACCCTAAATATTTGTATGCACTTTCCCCGTCATTACGTTATATGACTATGTGGCCAAGTAGGGTGCTTGTAAATCTTATAAGTGACGAAATTATTTATCGACTAATAGATTTCCTAAACTATAAATTTCATCATAATGTTTTCCCAGATTTTAAAACTCTTTAATTGTAACAATAGTGCTATAGTAGGTATAATGTCAATGATTAATGTTATTATACATAAAAATGTACTCAGAATGACGTGTCGGAGGCGGAGGGGCAGGGCTTTATAGGAATCATAAAAAATTAAACGAGATTAGGTACCCTTGCGAATGGATGTATCCTTAAGTAGATAGGTAAAGAGAAGGTTATATATAAGACAATTTATTATTCAGGTTATTCGTTATTGATAATTAATTATTTAAAAAAAAATATTTTGACTCCATTCACATTTTCTTTCTAGATGTAAGAAATATTGAAATGAAGTCAGTCCGTCGGTAAGATATTGTGTAAATTGGAACATTTTATTTTGAGTGATGTGGGGATTGTATGACGCATTTTTAAAATTATAGAAAGCAATAGTTTATCTGTGTTCATAGGCGCAGTATCGCTTAGTAGTTCTTTTAAAATAATCCGCGCCGTTAATGCTTCACTTAATGTTGTGAATTGTTAAATAAATGTATAAACCAAGTACCGCTCCATGTTGATAAGAGATGCACATAGATGTTAGAATACATAGTATTTTAATATTTGGTTGTCATTCTCGCAGTTAACTAGAACCTCTTGTCTCAGAGTTACTTTAAAACATTCTTCCAAGTAACAAAACATGAAAGTGCTATCAATGTAAACTTTTCACTTATACATACAATAAGTTTGTAACAATCTTTATTTTTTCTCGTGTAAATGTATGTTATTTACAATTTGTCATATTCTAAGTGACATACATACCCTTTATGTAATAGCCAAAGTCCAAGTTTTATTTAAAATTTGTTTAATGTTATTGATCATGTGCTTTTTAATACAAATGACACTTTGTAATGATAACATCTAGTTTGGTAATGCTTCTTACATTATCATATTTTTATTTAATTTTTTTTAACTGTTTGTAATATTTTAGTGCGTCTTTTTTGGGCACAAACGTTTTGGTCATAACTTAATATTTATAATATAGGGTATGTGATGTAAACAGTGACATTTTAGTGTACCTTTTAATCATATGATACTTTATTTTTTTATTGGTGCTCTGCTCTGTCTTTCAAATAGTAATAATTTTATTTTATTCAGAATGACTAAGGCCCTAAAGTTTCCTATTTTTATATATCGATATCGAATAACAAATTAGAAATTGTGAGTTAAGTATGACGTTAGAAGTTGGAAGGCTCTGGTAGTTTTTATGGTGTAACTGTCGAAATTGTATTAAAAGCTGCCACGATTTAACTATAATAATCACGTCATCTGAAACTTTTCCCGACTGAAAGAAGCGAGACGATTCTTTGGGCCACGTCCTTCGCCATACATACGTGCATATTGAGCTTGATAAAGGAAGCATTGTGTATTATCGATTGGTGTCAAATATATTTCCTTAATAATGTTTTTTATTTGCTAATAAAACACTGTCATTAAGGTTCTATATGTTTAAAGAGAAAAGATATGGCTTGCTTCATTAAAAAAAAAAAATAGTTCAATTTTACTTCACAATATAAGACCTAAAGTAAGTATATTCTCGTTTCCAATATTTTACAATTAGATGTGTAATAGAAAACTAAATCTAAAATGACATTATATTTGTATAAAATATTTACTTTCTATAATTATTATCAATCAATGAATATGTACAAATCGATTACATGTAATTATTTATATTAAATCTTTAAATACGAATTGTTTTTATGTTTATAGATATCCACATCTGCATTATTTTTACTTAGTAATATAATTGGCATGTTCATTGAAATCGAAGAAAATAAAGAATTTACTATTATAAATAAAGAATAATAGCGTATTATTGGTGTTTGTTTCATGGCTTAGTGATAATTTTATACTCATTACTAATTCTTAAAGAGGTTCTGATAACGAAGTTTTTAATAAAACACATGCATTAAAACTTATTTTTTATTAAAATATCAAGATTAAAATTTTACAGAAAATAGCATGATATATTTAAGAAGAATTTATGTTACATCATATTTATTCAATGTCAGATTGAAAGATATAAATGTTCAGTATTACAAGAGCGATAGTCTTAGGTTTGTTTATATTCTGGTCAGTAAAAGTTCGCAGTTTGAATAATAATCATCTGTACCTTATTGAGAAATACATAAAATACATACCCTGTTTTAATACTAAATCAATATATGACTGCAAATTCTGAACCTGGGTTCGAGTCCCGGGTAGAACTAAGAATATGTAGTTACATTCAGTTTTTTTCTATCACGAATTTTTCAGTAAAAGTCGAGTAGTTAGAAGCATTTTTTTGTAATAAAATATGAGAAAATATATATAATGAAGAATAAATATGTAAATGAACAAAAAATATAATTTTCGTATAATAGAACTTAAGTACTCATGATCACATTCATCTAGAGATGATATACTAGATTAAGAATAATGGACATACAAAACCAAAAGTTAAATAAAATCCGATAAGAATAGCTTTTCCTTAACGTTATTCCCTAAAACGAGTCATTCATACGTAATAACATACATTTTAAATAGATTGAGTTATAAGTATTCGAAAAATATTGAACCTTAAAGATATTCAACTACATTTTCATAAAGTTTTTTTTATACGTATATTCGATAAAGTCATTACATTAACTTAAATTAAAAAAAAAAAACGTGTGTACGCATGTAAGAAGTTATACTTCTTTGAACAATAACAACAAAAATAGCTAAAGATTTATCCCATATGTCAAAACTCTCTGTTTGTAAAATTAATGCAGCTAACTTCATCATGTCGCTATTTGGCTGTCGGTGTGTGCGCGCGCATCGTAAAAATATCATATTTTTTTCAAAACGTGCCAAAAGAAGTATAACTTCAAAAAACCAACACAATAATCTATTCATTGAAGCCATTTCAATGAGCCATCTGATACATCTGCAGTATTTTAATAAAGAGTTGAGTATCTTATCATTGCTGTAATGTCATTAAACTAACGGGATACTAAGTTTTGAATCGATTAGATATGTGTAATTTCATATCCTTATAAAATAGATTAAAGTGCTGATAGCCTGCAAATGACTGAATGGATTTTCTTGATTTATAGCTAAGAACACTCGATCAAGTTAACTTACAAACAAAAAAGAACTAAATTAAAATCGTTTCATCCATTTGGGCTCTACGTTGCCACAGATAGATACGTTTGAACTTTTAAAAAATGCAACATGCGGAAAAGTGTTAAAAATTCGAATTATCTTGCATAAAAATGGCAGGTTATATTTTGAGTTATAGCACTACATTTACTATAATATAATATTATATTCAATAACAAAATAGAATCTGCACACTACTAGATTTTAATTATTTTATTAATCGTAATTTTACTGGGTATGTGACTTCAGTTCTAAACAAGATATGGTATTCTTCCTGCAGATCGAATCTTGCACATTAGTCGGCTCTCAATTGCGAAACTTGTAATGTTTTTATTAAAAAAGCTCATGTATGTACAATATATATATATATATATATATATATATATATATATATATAATATATATTATATATATATATATATACTTTTGATTTCCCGGAAACTAACCACGAAGGCGTTTTTTGTTGTTGAATATATATTAAAATGTAAATGTAGTGAATATGCTACCTTGCTCTCCTCCAAAGACTGTGGTCTGTAACTGTGAACAAAAATAATCCAAAACAAGTCTTGTATTTTATGTACCTACTAATAATTATTTTAATTTGATATACAAATTATTGGTTTATTAAACAAAACGCTAGTTTAACACTACATTTAATAAATTTTGGGTTAAATCTATTTATTTGTATAATTTGAAAAGTTTATTTTAATCATTATCTTTGTCAAATTCTCTCCGCTGACAGTTCTTAGTAGCTGCGAAACCTTGGTTCTATATGGAATTATACTTGCCGTCATTCATATTAGTAAATTGTTTTTAATTTGCATCGAAATTGAACTCAACAAAAGGTTGGTATCTTCAAAAAATAACACGTAGAAGTGAAACTCTAAAATTCGCGCCCACATGAAAAGAAAGACTTTGCTCGATAAGATATTGGAGTAAAGTGAAACTTGTGACCTAATTGTATCTACGTACAAAAGTTGTTCTTTCTCAGTAACTTTAGAATAAAGAAGAAAATCCGCATAGCGCTTGCAGATATGTGCCTTAATTTCCGTAAATCAAAAAACAATGAAAATGTAAATTGCGAATAAATATTTATAAAATTTGATTTTGATTAATTTTATTCTTGAAAAACGATTACCGACTCACTGTATATACTACACATGAACGAATTAGAGACTTCGTTCATGATACTACATTACGAAGATTGTTATTGCATATCATTTTGTAAGTATGTGTAAATGTGTATCACTTGAATGCACCCTTTATTTAAGAAAAACATTTATTCAGTACAAAATCAGTCTAAATATTCCACATAGCATACACACTAGCATCACACCTATAAGAAATTAGTGTGTGACAAAGAAAAATACACAATGAAATCAACAAGTACAATATGAATCTTGTTTCATAAACTTTTTAGACTTCATATTGTCTGACACAATGCTACAAGCTAAAGACAAAACTATATATACTATTATATATTATATAGCTAATAATTTGAGTCTTACTTACTAAGTCCTTACATTAGAATATTACAAACTAAAAAAATCTTTTAGATGAACAGTGTTCGAAGATTTAAAAATGGGTTAATTTTGTAGAGAAATTTTGGCCTGAGGAACTAAGTCTTCCTGTTGTGAATAAAAAAATAATCATTCTTTATATTAATTAATTGTGATGGCTTCGTTAAAATTAATACAAATTAAAGTATAATTGTCGTCACATTAATTGTATCGTAGTTACTGACCAATATATTACACAATATGCATATACAAATAGTAAACAATAATTATATAAGTTTATAATTTATTAATATATAACTTCGTTCCGACATAATATGTATTAATATTATATTTATTGTACTACTAAATCTTTATAATTCATTATAAATGTACATAACATTTATTCAGACATGTAAATGTACTTTTTCTGTACTTCAATATTAATATATACTATTATTCAATACATTAATATTACAAATTAAAATGTTAACTGATTACGGCATATTTTATATGTAACAAATTAAATTTAACTGCCTTGATGGTGTAGTGGCTAGCATGTACAGCTGCACACCCGGAGGTCCTGGGTTCGAGTCCCGGGTCGGGCCAAGTTTAGTTATTGAGTCTTTCTGTATAGTAAGTCTCAGTAACAGCCCGGAGTTGGGAAGTTGGCGGTGCTTCACCCCCGTGCCTCGGAGAGCACGTAAAGCCGTCGGTCCTGCGCCTTAACTCTCACTGGTCGTGTCTCGTGTCGTCCCACCGGAGTATGAGAGTGACAGGAATAGAGAGTGCATGTTGTGTCTGCGCGTACACTTGAGCACTATAATATCTCCTGCGCAGTTGGCTAGTCTCAATGAGATTGGCCGCCGTAGCCGGAATCGGCTAGGAGAACACATCATTTTATATGTAACAAAGAAACACGTCTAATTTTTAATATGGCTCTTCTCTTTTAGGCTACGAACGTTACTGTTAAATCCCTAACCTACTATAAACACTTTAGAAAAAATGATCATCTTAAAATGCGTCTATACTTATAACTATACAATAGAAAAGAGAAATAACTTTAAAAATTTAGAAGTCTCAGCATTTTAAATGTGCAGAAACAATATGGAATGCTTTAAACTAAACGTTTAGCTTTAGAACGGTTATAAATACATGTAAATCGTACCAATAATGTCAATATGATAAGAAAATCCGTAGAAGATTTTATTTGCTAGATATTTCCACCGCTTTGTTTAATATCAAAGACACATCCATTGGAGGGAAATTTTGTAGCAACTTGACGTTCGACGCAAAATCACCGTTCAATAAATTCTCTCTTACTAACCTGTAAAAGAGATTTAAAAAAAATTATTTATAAAGATTGATAAAATTGAAGTGTCTGTTTGTAATTTCAAAATAACAGCTTTTTTTTCTAAACGCATATGAATACGCATGGACGCATATCAATTTAAAGAATCTCCTAGGGACGAACATGAGCGAAACGAGGGTGAGTTGCTAGTGTATTACTATAACTGTGAATGTGAATTTTATATATTTATTATATTACTAGCGACATACCCTTGTTTCGCTCGGGAACTTCTTATTTTGGGCCAGGAAACAAACAAACAGACAGGAACAACTCATCAAAGTTATCTATCTCATCTCATGTACCTACTCCATGTTGTCACTTTCCTAAATCATTCATCACAATCGGACGAATGATTTAGGAATGCAATGAGTATAAACTTACTTACTAAGAAACATTCATTTTTTATTTTTATACATTAAATTTGGTGACCATTTGTGGTTGGATTTAGTTTATGTACGTAGATACTATACCTATATCCTATACTAATATCTTAATGTAGAAATATTTGTTTGTAATAAATAAACTCTGAAACCACTGTTTAATCGATTTTAGTCACTCTTTTCACCATTAGAAAGCTGTATATACATCCGAACAAACATAGACTATATTTTAATTCAATATGAAAAAGTTTTCAGTCTGAAATGAAAAATCACGCAAAGGTATAAGATAGTGGACTAGTAAAAAAATATATAATGAATACTTACAAGATCATGGCACAGCAAACGTAAATGAGGAAGGTGAACCTCTGAGGATCTGCAAATAGCGAATCCCAAATTCTTTCAACATCTGGCAGCGAAAACTCTTGGGACAGCAACAGCGTCAGCCACCTATAAATATATTAATTATATAGAATATATATATACACAAAATTAAAGAAAAAGATACTTTACATACGTTTCGTAGAAAGTAATTTTATTTTTTAAGGAATAAAGAAAAATAAAACTTGTTGTATTCTTATGTATGCATGTAAGAAGTTATACTTCTTTGGCGTAACAGAACAAAATTAGCTAAAGATTTCACCCCGTACGTCACAGTTCTTTGTTTGTAAAAGGAATGATAAATTAATTAAATAAGGCATATTACAATCATATATTTATAGAATATTATTTAAGGAGAGAATTATATATCATTTGTCAGACAATAACAACGATTACTATGACTACAAATAGTTATCAGCTAACTTCATCATGTTTCTTTTTGGCTGTCGGTATGCGCGCGCATCGTAAAAATTTTAATCTCATATTTTCTTCCAAACGTGCCATATACTATATATATATATATATATTGACCTGAAGCTATAATATTGTGGCCGCAACTCCTGTTTCTCAAGACGATCCCAAACAGCGCGGTCATTTTTCTTCACACATTCGCAAAGTTTGCTCATTTTATAGTTGATGCCGCTCTCCGTCTCGTCCAGCGTACGGATGAAGAAGTCCCGAATTTCAGCCATTAGATTGGTAAAGCAGAAGAAACAATCTGCTTCAGCGTGCCCTGCAAATGTTTCATATATTGATTTTATTTAATATATTATATTGTCATTGAACCGAATGTATGAAAAGTCTTAGTGTTATAATAAAACTGTAACGCGACTCAACGTCCCACTGCTAGGCACGGGCCTCCCTATAATGTGAGGGGGATCAGGCTATAGTTCACCACGTGTGTGGTTTGGTTGACATCACTTACGAAAACTTGGTATGTTTTGCTTCACCGTAAGAAAAGTGGAAAATCGCTGGGAATGATTCTCACATGAAAATATCAGAGGTGCGAAACCTGGAATTGGAACCCGCTTCACTGAGTTTCATAAGCGAGCGCTTTACCACTGTGCTAACACTGCCTACTGGGCTATGACTGTCTGCCTTTTTGGATTAATAATAATTATTATTAACAAAATAACTTTATTTTTGTTATTATTCAATGTTATATAAACAACTTATGAAATCTAAATAAGACTGCCTTTGAACCTTTTTAAAAAAACACTTCAGATAATAAGGAAAGCATAATAATTGGCAACCAGTAAACAAATTTTGTTTTTAATAGGTATATCACAGAATAAACTGTGAGTAAGATAACCTCGACCTAATATCGTTCTCACCAACGTTAATAATACAATTTAATGCAATTGACATTGGCCCTCTTGAGGGACACATATTATGTACGTGTGCATGATTATCAATTCGACTTTTATGAAAGAATAGTAAAAGTAACACATGCGTTCTTTTTGCGTCGATTGGAAACATTTTTATAGGGTTAAATCAAACAAGTAATTCCTGTGGCTATCAAAACAGTCACTTTCTCGTTGTAACTTTACTACATAACACTATTAGCATGAAATAACTATTCTGAAGTTCGTTTGAGAGATAAGAGATAGATATAAATAAATAAATATGTTGGGGCATTAATACAGCACCATCTTATTCCATGGTAAGCTACGAGGCTTGTGTTATGGATACCAGATAGTTGAAACACTAGGCATACATAGCGCGAGCCGCGACGACACGTTTGGCTCAGTTTGTAGAGCATAGGTAGGGCGCTTAAAACTGAGCCACTGGCACTCACTGGCAAGAGTATTTTCATTAAGTTTAGAAGTTGATAGAGATATACGCCCGTGACGAGGCAGAACACTATCCTGTGCCTCATCTCTCACCGCGGCGCGTCGATCCACTGGACTTTGATTAAAGCAAAAGAGAGTGCCAAGTGAACTTGTGTTTGTGCACATGCACTGCATTATAATAGCTGTAGCGCAGATGACTGGTCTCAGTGTGTGGGCCGCAGTATATTCGAAATTGGTTAGAGGAACAATATTATATAAGATAATTTTTCTTTCAGAGTTAATTAACGAAATAGACATATTATGTATACATAATATATATCCTCCTAGGACAGTAGGTTAAAGTGTTAATGTAAATAATATTTACATAGTGATACGTACTTCGGAAGTCCTTGTTAGGATCGGATGCGAATGTGTGGTATATAGGCCCAATGATCTCGTTCATACCCTGCACATATCCCTGTCCGGGATTCAATTTCGCGTATAAGAAGAGCATACGTTCCACGACCTCCCAGTGCGCCTCGCAGCCTTCATTCAGGGGGGTATAGTCCCCGCTTGTTATACTGTCGCTTCGACGGATCTCGTTGCTTAACTGTTACATATTTTTATCTTTCTTACACGCATAAATAATGTTGCTGTATTGTATATGATCAATTTAAAAAAAAAACTTGTGTGTTTTTATGAATGCACACTTGTCTTAAAATTTAGATGAGATCAGTGTTTACCAGGAAATATGACAAAGAAGCAATAAAAAAAATACAAGTAATTTCATTGAGAAAGACTTAAAAGTTTATAAAAAAATTGGGTATTCATATAAATGCGTAACATACATAAAACACATTAGAATTGTGTTCCCACTTCTTTTCTTGGACAACACTTAGAAGTCCTGTTTATTAGTTGTGGACTTTATGGATATACATACATAAGTGTACCAGCTGTCAATATTTGGTGATTTCGTAATACATACGCGTGTGAGAGAATAGTTATAAAAAGTGGCTCGCACACGGCACATTGCTGTGGTTTCATCAGCTAAAAGACTCTCAGGGTAATTAATTATATTTATTAGACCTTAACGAGATCTGATCATATAACATGATAGTGATATTCACGTCATATCGAGTGACAAATAGTACCTATAGATTACATTGTGACTCCAATATAAAATACTTAATATTTTCAACTACAATAATAAGCAATTATCATTTAATAGACGAAAAAAGTGAATATATTACCTTAGCAACACCAATTCCTTTTCGCTCTAAAGTTGAGTATTTTAGGACTGACTGCTCGACTCTTTTATGCAAACGTTTGACTCCATTACTATTTACGATCTAAAATAGTTTATTAAATGTTAGTAGCTCAAAATGCTTAAGCATGGTATGATATTAATCTAATTCATCAAATGTCATGTTATCAATACTGTGTATTTAATTGAAAAAAATTTTGATTCATTCATTTCATTTAACTAAAATAAGAATAAAAAAATAGGCTCTCTGTGACGTAGTTCTCGTCGTAACCCAGACACATTTAAAAATTTTTACTAAAATTAGGAAAATTAGTAAAATATTGGACCAGTGGGTCTGTATGTATGTAGGCGTTGTCACAGTATGCATTGTTATCATATAAGGTAAAAAAAAATCAAACGCTAAACCATTTATTACTATAAAACTTGTTAATTATAAAAAAATTATGCTTTTTCTATAGCCCCCCTTTTATTTTTTTATAAGTTTCCACTTTCAAGGTTTATGGCATGATTGTAATAGCTAGCTTAGTGTATAAACTTTTTCAACAAATCTACATACTTATATTATGCAAGTGAAAGTTTGTATGTATATGTTTGTTACTCCTTCGGCCTTCATGCTGAAGCAGCGGGACCGATTTGCATCAAATTTAACACACAGAAAGAATATTAAAAGACTATCTGAGCAAAGTGAGGGTGAGTCGCTAGTAGGTAATAAAGTTCAAAAAGAATTTAATTTGACCAGTTGTTCTGGAGATGCATGGATGAAGAGCATGTTTAAACAATAAAACAAAAGACAATCTTTATAATATTAGTATTGAACTAAAGATTAGTCGTAAAATTCAACATCAATAAACATTATTGTGAATAATGTTGATGGATTTAAATAAGGCTCAAATTCTATCTTTGCTATTGAAACACATAACTGTGTATTTAATTTTTTTCTATCAGTACAGGTTTATGAAGCACAAACTGGTTCGGTTTTGATATAAAAAGGACACAAATAAAATTTGCAAAAAAGGAGTAAATCAAACTTAAATTTTATCAATGGCAAATAATTATCTGTATTAGACAAAAATAAAAAACTAATTATTAAATACGGCCCACCCTGGCTTCGCTGGGGTTGGTACATTTTAACTCTTAGTATGTTATACATAGACTATATATCTCCATGCAAAAAATTGCACCAATCTGTCCCTCTGTTTTGACTTGAAAGAAGGACAAACTGACACACTTTCACATTTTTAATATTACTATGGATAGCTAATAAAAATCTGAATGCAATCTAGTATAGTATGTAACGTGGCAACATTGGTTTCCTTTATTTAAACACCAAATACAATTAACTATATAAATAACTTCAACATCACCAAAAATTAGATTAAAAAATTTTGTGGAAGAAGAGTTTCTAGACTATTTTTTAATTGAAATGCATGTGAAATAATTACACTGAACTTAATTATTCATACCAGCATTATTATTTTGTTTTCATTAAGCTGCATTGCTCTTTTTATGAAGATTATAAACTTATATTCATCTCAACCTCAGTTATTCTATTAGCTCAATCTAACAATAAATAACTTACCTCAGAACAGGGGAATTCTGTGGCAGATTGAAAGAATGAAATATCTGGACACAATCTCCGGACATCTTTATCTATTTGTAGCAGCACTTCATTATCTTTGAAGTAATTACTCCAAGAACTGTCTGGACTAATATTAAGTGGATGGTCACTTGGGCCTCCCGGTGACACTATTATTTCCTCTGAAGATGATATGTTTTATAATTTAAGATCATATTACTAAACAAAGAATTCTATTTAGTATTTTTATGGTGATACTAATAAGTAAATGACAATCTATAATATAAAAAGTAAAAAAAACATCTCTTTACCTATTAATTGTTGATAAAGTTGTCGTTTTTTTGTTAATGTGCTTTGCCAGTCATTTTTTTCTAAAGGTATGTAATGGAGTAATATCTTCCATACAAGTGATCGTAAACCTTTTTCATCTGGCACACCTAGAGTCAATTTTAAAAGTTAAGTTTATGTTAAAATGCCCAACGGTCATGGCATAAACTAGGTTTTTGTTAATATAGGAATAACAATATATTCCTCATAACAATAAATCAAATACTTCTAACAAGAAACAACAATAATAATTCTTAATTTCGAATAATAATAAAACAAAGTAAACGAGCTTACCATTGAAAGCAGACTTTTGTAGTTGCTCAATATCAACAACATCTTGGTCGAGAATATCTTCGAAAGCTTTAATCCTGCAAATAATTTTTGTAACAGGCAATATAAAGAAAAAGAACTATGTATACTATAATAGAAGATTATGAATATGTGTATTTTACATTATACTCTGAGATATACCATAAAGAAGTATTAAAAATAGTAAGATATTAAATTATTGATATTCAGCAATTTATCATTATTCTTTATGACTAATTCACATGGTAAATATATCTCAACTAAAGGAAATATATCAGTGAGCAGTTTGGTTATCATTTAAAAAAGTTAAAAATATAAAATGTATCCATTAACATTCAAACTAATATCAATCCTATTGTACAATATAGTACCACAAATATATTAAGAACAAAAAATTTGGATAATTTGCTTTACGAAGTATATTTTTTATATTAGATACAAAAGTTAGTAAATAGATTTAATAACATTAACCACAATTAATACATTATTTTAAGTCACGCGTTGGTTTAAGAAATGGGCGTTGATAGTCATTAATTTAAATATACAGTCAAATCAAAATTATCAATATTACCTGGCCTTGTATAAAGACATTTTCTTCACTGATCTTTAAATGAAATACATAGAATGTTTGATAACTTATTTTTTTGTTTTAGTCAGTTGTTGGTAATTTCTAGTACCAGTCTCAGTTTTACATATTATACTTATATTTTTTTGACATTGTTAAAGTAAAGAAATATCCACTAATAATGTGAACTATTATAATATTATTGTTGTGCACGTAACGCGTACCTACAGACACCCCAATTGTCACTTCTCAACATGGATGACAAATCTTGTCAACTTGTCAGTTTATTGACATTTCACAAATCCCACTTCGATAAGGAGGTAGAAGTAAGGAGGTTCATCTCAGTGTAGTGAAAAGTGTCAGTTGAAAGGGATCAAATTAAGGTGGCGCTATAGTAGCAAGTGAAAGAATTTTAAAAGGAGCGCCACAAATTATTAAAAGAAGAATTTCCGCTTTGTTACAGCGCATTTTTTTAAATTATTATAATATACAGACAAACATGAATATGAAATAAAATAATACAGTATTTTAAGTACCCCAATTATTTGTAAATTAAATTATTATTATTTGTAAATTATATTAAATTTTTCAACTCAGCATACTTCACTCTGTTTATAACAACTAAATTCATATCATTTCCATTTATCTACACTAGCGCTATTTCGGTGAGTATTCGAACAATAAATTGCTGTTTACAAGTGGACACTTTTTTAACTAATCCCCCATACAAGACGGTCCTTTTTACTTCCACCCTCCATACCACTTCGCGAATGAAAATGTCAATTTTATACAAACTCAAAGTTGTCAATGGTTGTCATCATGGATATTTTTTTTCTTTATTGGCAGGTTCCGCAATACATTCTGACCTTCGAGTAATAACAAGCATGGAGGACTCGTATTAAACTGAACCTAACTTTCACTGCTTTATCTTACTAAGAGATGGCGTATGTTAGAGAGAGAGAGACGCAATAATAAAGAACCTATCGTATTTAACGATGTGAAGCCACTTTTTACTTTAGGTGACCAGCTGGTGACCTACTGTGTTTTTGATATTTGTGTTTATTTTAATGATAAAAGATTAATTGGATGTAACAGACTTTGTTTTAAGGAAATTTTAAAAGCATTTTGTTTCGATGGCTTATGCGGCTTACGGCTGTAACAGCCATAGTTCAAGGAAAAGTGAAGATAATTAAAATGTAACATTTCACCGGTACGTGTTTTTTTGGATTTTTCTGTTAAAATACTTAACATTCAAATGAAATATTCAAATATGTTTAAATTGATTGTTTTAAGACTTTTACAATATCAGAATAGTGTCTAACCGATCTCTTATCAATTTGAAAAAGTAATTTTGTTTTTTAGTCATATTGATGTGGCATGACGTACGTTCATTATTACTTTACCGATTCGTTTTTAGAATACAGGTAGACAAAATTTCTTAAAATATAGACATCTACATATATATCTCTACATGTTATAAAATCACTTATTTTGTTTCTAGATAACTTTCATGTACTTACATTATGAATATAAAATTTTCTTTCCAAAATTGTAAATACAACCCAGTTTTAACTAATTTACTCTCATAAAATGTACTTTCACGAATATAAAGATAATATATTTGAAATATACCTAGCTTCCAAATCCATTTTACTCTTATACCATGATAATTGAGCGGCATCGGCGCGTGGTCATTCCGCTTCTGACTTTGTTGGGTCCCTAATAAAACTTCGAGATATTCCTTGCTTATATTCTTATATTCAGTACTATTATAAGCGTAATATATTACAAACAATTCGTGCCTAGTCACTACATGGTGGTACCGACATCTCTGTGCAAAAACGCGGGAAAACAAATGAATTTACGCGCTCTTTTTTTTTAAACATACCTATCGGCCAAGGTCACATAAGTAAATGCCTTATATATAAATCATTACAAATTAATCAAATATATTATTTTCTATTAAAACGCTCAATATATGAAAATGCAACCTTACACTAGTTTGTTCAGTTGCCTCTCAGTCACATCCAAATAGCAATTTATTTGTATTTTTACTAGTTTATTATTGTGCCACCTGTCTGTGCTTTAACACTGTAAGTCAAGATAAGTATGGCATTTAGCTACAACGAGTTTATTTTACATCAACAACTGGAAAAAAAAGAATCTGTGTGTAATAAGTCGTTTGAAACCCGTAATATATTCGGCAAGTTCGATTAATCGTCCTGCGATTACACCCCCACGACCACTGCTATGACCATCGTTTTTGTTACATTCAATACGTAATTCGACCATCGAAGGGTGTAGTTTTAACAAATGACTTTATGTAAATATCTCAGCAAAATGAATGAAATAGATTGAGGTATAATATTTTCAATTCACGATGATGATTGTAATCACACTTAAAAATTTTCTCCTTAAATCTTAGGTACTTTCTTGTATCTACCAGTTTATCACTTATCATCAGAGCCTTTATCAAAATTGTTTTTTTTATATTTAAAATGTTATAGCATCCAAGCGATTGAATAGATTTTAGTCAAACAATAGCTGTATGATCCGCGTTACGCGGAGTAAAATATATAAAACTAACCCTAATAAATTATAATATATAATATTGTGTACCTTGTACGTGGACTTAGCCGTGGAAGCGTTGCCTGGCCCGGAATCCTTAATCCTGCGTAGGCACTGATCACTAGGGGTGTTTTGTGTGCATGTAGAATATAATATATAAGCCCATTAATCAATCCGACCGAAATACTTTGATTTTCTTTGTAACCGACACAATTCAAAAGGGGAGCTCTCGTCCCACCGACCGACGAATACCGAATGCCATTGACGACTGTCCTTTCAAACCCGACCTAAGATGATGCCATATAAAAAATACTAAACAATAGCTTTAAATTTATTGAAGTATATATGGTACAGCGGCTCATCCTCGCTTCACTCGGGTTCACCTCTACAAAAACAAAATTATCTCACGGTAATCGTACATTTTTACGGGATAAAAAGTAACCTATTTGTTATTCTGATGTATGAACTATATTATTGTAAAGTTTTATTAAAATGCAATCAGTAGTTTTTGTTTTCTAAGCTGTATAAGTTACTATAGTTTTTTAACTATCATCTCACGGGAACTCTTTAACTTTTCGGGATGAAAAGTATCTACAATGTTGACTGAGATATAAGGTACCACCAAGCAAAATTACATTTAAAACGGTCCAACAGCTTCGGAGATTAGCCCGTACAAACAGACAAATAGACAGAGAAACAAAAAAATTGAAAAAAATCTGGATAAGTTCTATTTCTTTTCTTAAATGCCCCTGACTCGGTTTTTAGCGTTTTTTTTCTATGTACATACATTCGACCTCTACAGTTTTATTATATACATATAAACTAAACATTGACAAGATGAAAATAGATTTGAAAAAAATATTTATAAATAAGTGCAAACATAAATTATAAAATAATATATGAAAATATAGAGAATAAATACGTAAAGTGTGGACACCCTGCGCAAATAATGCGTCGGAGACGCGTGGTGTTCGCGTAACTTATTATGGGTGATTTTGAAAGAAGGCTAATATCGATTCTTGCAGCTTTACAGAGTTTAGCTTGTTCTACGTACTTATGAATGGGATAGCGCTTTGGCCTGTTTAAATTGTTGCGAACAATTTATATTACTCCCACTGAAGTTCGAGTTCGATACATTTAGAAATACTTATATAACAATATATAACTATTTTATCAAGCTCTGAAGTAGAAGTAGAATATATTGCATATTTATTATTTTAATAAACAGAAAAGTTAATGTTTACAAATGCCTGAGCGCGAATTAGTCTCGTCGCTAATAGTGGTTACTTAGTATGGTCGTACGGTGTCGCGGCCATTTCCGGCGCAATATACACAATAGACATTGATTACGTTCAAAATTGTGTCTATTTACTGAAACCCCTTTAATACACCTGAAATTCTCCTAGATACACACAATAGAAAGGTGTGCTAGTTGTCAAATAGCGGAATAGTTAAATAATAAAATCTTAAAAATAAAACGTGTGTGTGTAGGCTTATGTAGGTACCTACCCACGTAAGAAGTTAAACTTTTTTGGCGTAACAAAACAAAAATAGCTAAAGATTTCATCCTGTATGTCACAACCCTCTGTTAGTAAAAGGATGCAGCATAATAAAGAATGCAGCTAACTTAATCATGTCGCTTTCAGCTAACTTCGTGTTTAACTGCTTTATGATGTGAACATCTAATAGGTAAATCTGTCAAGGTGTAAACTCTAATTAATTATTATAGTTAAAATAGTCGACGTCAATTTGTGATGTATATAAATAGATTTGCTTTGCTTTGCATCGACTGACACCGATTTCGTTTATTAGACTTATTGGCTTTATTTGTATGTTTGTCCTTCATCCATTCCACCGAAACAGAGCGACGGATTGGCGTTATTTTTTGTATGGAGGCAGATGGAGGGCTGGAGAATAATATAGGCTACCTTTACGTTTAACCTTATTTAGGAGATTATCTCGTTCCTTATGACTTTGGTTTTCCCGAGTCGTATTGGCACAAAAGACATATACCTACCTACGCTAAATTTTATGAAGATTGAAGAATATTTAGGGGTTGCACATGTTGGCTACTTTTATCCCACACTAGTGTAATACGTAATATTGAAATGTTTTGTAAAAGAGTATCTATTTTACAATTTAATCTAACATTGACGTGGTCGGCATATCGCCATCTCACCTGTGAATTAATATTGAAAGGAGTGTTTAAAAAGTATTCTAAATCACCACCAAGTGGTCCTGACATCCCAATTTTCCAGAAGTTCTACAGTCTGTGGGATTCACTTGATAAAAGTCATTTACGCTAGATAAAAAGAATCCTGTTAATGGTTATCTAAAAGAACAAAGAGTGACAGTGGTTAATTACATCCTAAATGTCCTAAAAAATTGAAGTCATCCAAGAATAGATTTTGTAGTCTTATTACAACTGTCACTCCTTTATCAAGGAGGTTGGAATTAA